CCTCCTCCTCCTCCTTCTCCTCCTCCTTCTCCTCCTCCTTCTTCTCCTTCTCCTCCTCCTTCTCCTTCTTCTTCTCTCTATGAAGTATGGGGAAATTTTGTGGTCTGCTCACCGAATTGGGTGTACTCAGGGCAGTGCTTCCTCTAAGCACTCAGAGCGCCTCAATTTTAACTTTAAAAAAAAAAGAGGCAAGTTTTATCCTTTATGGCTGTGAAGACATTTGAAAACTAGTAGCTTAATGCCTGCTGAAATCTCAGAAACTGGAAGGGCGGTTTGAGGAAGACTTCGAGAGGTTTGAGGGGCTTTGGAGATGACTAGGGTAAATTATGAAAATACCATAGTGCAGCAATTTGTTTGATTTGCATAACGGAAAGTCATAGAATCCAGCTTTCCTCGGCACAGTTTTAGTTTATTTTAGTCAGAATATGCATAGCCCTAGGTATACCCTTTAAGCTAAGAACCCCCCAAATCCAGCACTGTGTGCTAATGATATAAATATGATTTTGTATAACTACACACAATTTTAATTATATTATTTGGGTCATGGCAAAGGTTAGGATCTGTGGGGAGGGAGAAGTCGACCACAGAAGCCCATGTCTTGAAATGTAATTCTGGAATATTTCTTCTGGCCCTTGCTGATCACCCAGATGTTGAACATCTGGCTCCAAAGAGAAGGCAGATTTCCCTTATTTGTCATGTACTCTGAAGTAGTTCTCTATCTGCCCCACATCACAGCACAGTTCTCTATCTGCCCCACATCAGGTTGCCAACTTCTAGGTGGGGTCTGGAGACCTCCCACTTTTACAACTGAACTCCAGGCAACAGAGATCAGTTCCCCTGGAGAAAACAGCTATTTTGGAGGGTGAGCTCCCCTGCCTAAAGCCAGCAGTCTCCAGGCTCCCCAAATCTCCAGATATTTCCCAACCCAGGGACGGCAACCCTTGCCCCACACCTGCCCCTTCCCAAGGTGATTCCAGATCAGCCCTGCTCTGAGTTGCCTGTAGCTTGGCTGGGGCTCAGACTCTCGCCCTTAAAGATGCAAGAGGATCGGTGCTTGTAGGATTCAGTTCTTGGAGCACCTTGAGGATTCCATGTCTTCCTGTCTTGCGTTTCAGCCTCCAGCATCACCACCTTCACTGGAGAGCCAAACATCTGCCCACGCTGCTCTAAGAAAGTTTATTTTGGTGAGTATGCCACAGGTGCCTTTTGCCCCATAGATGCAGTAAGATCTTGTGGCCCCGTGGGGCCAGCAGTGGCGGGCCCCATGACCAGAGACAGTGATGGTTGGTGTAGATGCTTTTGCATATTTTGAAAGGACATACACCATTCCTAATTTTCCACCGGAAAGGGTGTAAATGTAAAATTTCCGGAAATTTTGAAGCTTGGAAAAAACCCCAGTTTTTTTCTGGGGAAAAACCGGAAATTTTCGGAAAAATTGAAAAAAATGCTACACTAGCACTTTTTTTTTCTTTTCCAGATTGAAAGTCATTCTGTTACTTTAGGAACATAAAATATGACTATGGACATTTTTACTTGGCATGAAATTATCACAACTAGCCTATTAAAAATATAGTGTATCCAAACAGTTATTACAAACAGAATACCCACCCACATGCAAAAACAAAACGGAAACCTTTTTCTTTTCTTGTGACAATAGCACCTCCTAAAGGAAGAAATGCATCTTGTTCTTGCATTGGAGAGTTCAGTTTGTAACCTAGGACTTGCTTGTCCTCAGTGCACAGAAATTAGATCAATCTGATAACATCAATCTGATAACATACATATTTTTTAGAAATGATTTGGAAAATATTTGAACACCTTGTCTTAAAATATTTTATTCATCATGTTAAAATAAAACATTCCATAATCAATTTCTTTTCTTTGTTCAATTTTTCCAATTTTTCGGAAAAAAACGGGGGGAAAACGGTTTCCCCCCGAATTTTCCCGGGTTTTTTCCAGGCCTTCACATCTCTAGGTGTAAGTATGGGCTTGCTAGTGCGAGGATGAGGAGGAGAAAGAGAGAGTGGCCTTCTGAAGCTGCCATCCCTGCTAAGGGTGACTGGTTCTGGTTCTGCCAGAACAGGGAATTGTCTGGTGGCATGAGTTCTGTGTGGCTTGTAGCTCCTGAAGGCTTCTGATAGATCTAGTAGATAGGTCTAGTAGCTTGCTTTCTAGCCATCAAGAAGGGTGGTGGTGGTCAGGCCCTGACCTGGATAGCCCGGGCCAGCCCGACCTCATCAGATCTCGGAAACTAAGCAGGGCCGACCCTGGCAAACACTTAGAAGGGAGACCTCCAAAGAATACCAGGGCCAAGAGGCAGGTTATCAAGCCACTTCTCCATGCCCCAGTAGGAGTCGCCAGAGGTTGCCACGTCCTCCAGGCACGGGCACGCATACACATGCATGCACACATACACACATACACACAAATGCAAAAAACACACACAACCAAATAAAAATAAAGAAGGGGGGGGGTCAGATGCTATTTGCAGATTCCCTTTCCATTTAGCTTCTACAGAACTTGTATGTAGAGGATGATACACAACCAAAATAACCAAAATTCTTCGACAGAAGCTAATGTCTGTGTGCAGCATAAATTATGCACATCAAGGAGACTTGCAGATAGGTTGTTCGGCTGGATTTATCCTCCATTTGACCCTTGGAAGTCCTCCTGAGTCTCCTTCGTGCCTCAGCAATGCAGATTCCCCCCCCCCCCGGCATCCATAAAGGGTAGAAACATTTTTTTTTAAAGCTGTAATTTTCAGGAAGTTGAACTGTGTCCAGTATGGCTTCTGTGGAAGGCCTGCAGGCCCTTCCGTGGCTTCAGAAACCCACGCCGTTGTTATCTGCCAGACCCCTGGCATATACTTGAGCCTTTTGCTGCTCTCCTGACACCAAATGCAGTGATGGGGACCTTTGGGTTAGTTAGGCATCCTCAGGGCTCCCTCAAAAGCGAGCTGAATTTACATGCACCTTCTTGTCTGTTCTAGCTGAGAAGGTGACTTCATTGGGCAAGGACTGGCACCGCCCCTGCTTACGGTGCGAGCGCTGCGGGAAGACTCTGACACCCGGAGGCCATGCTGAGGTAAAGCATCAAGGACTTGGATGTACACACATCATTTGTTCCATCAGAAGAGGCAAATCGGGACTTGGAAGTGTAGCGAATACTGGCGATAGTGAAATTGTGCAAAGTAACTTTTCTCAGTCACTTTTGTGTGATACAGATTGCTGGCTATTGGATGATCCGTTAATTTACCCTAATCTTTGTTCAGCTTCAGAGGACGGCGGAAGACAGGAAGGCCTGGCGGGATTTGGTCCATGTGGTCACGAAGAGTCGGACTCGACTGTGCGACTGAACAACAAAACCCCTATCCACAGAATTATTGTTAGGAATGACCATGGGGCGGAAACATCCTTACATATAGCAGGACGAGACAAATGGCTAAGCAAGTTAAATTCGAGCGCGCGCGCGCGGGATTTCTCCCGGCGGGAGGATACATGATAAGCGGGAGAGTCGCAGTGCCTCACGAGAGCCAAAAGATTCACACCAGCAGTGGAGCGCAAGCCTGCCGTCCTTCACAAGGCCAGACAGATAACGCCGTCTGGCAGTACTGGCTCTCATGGTCTCCCTAGCATTGTTTACAGCAAGCGGCCGAGCAGTGAGCAAGCCAGGATCAGAGAAGGGAACAAGCAAAACATGGCAGCTAGCTGACACTCACAGTTTCTTAGTCTCCAGCTCTTAGCTCAGGAAGGATGTCTCCAGAGCAAACTGATTTATACAGTAGCCAAATCACCTGCTCACAACTTTAATGCCAGTAGCTCACAAAGTAGAATTGTTGCTCACAGGACTCCATAGTTTAGAGGGAGTATTGGTCAGGACTAATCTTATTTGATTGAGAAGGGGATTATATATTTTTTTTATTTGCTGAAGATGCACTGAGTATTCAGTGCTATTGACTGATCCTTTCATCTGCAGGAATGTAAAACCAACCTTCCTTCCTTCCTTCCTTCCTTCCTTCCTTCCTTCCTTCCTTCCTTCCTTCTTTCCTTCCCAAATTTCTGTGTCTTAAATGGCATTTTCCAGGATACAACGTATCCTTGCCCTCTCAATTCTCCCTCACACACACACATCCTCCAGTCACAAGCTCTGCCACTCTTTTCCAGAAGGAAACAAGACCAAGAGTCATTCTGGGATAAAGAATCCTCTTTCTGAGCACTAATGTTGACGGGAAGGGAAAATTCTCCTTGGAAGAGGTGCACAAAACCGGACAGTGGGCGCCTGTCCCCATACCCTCCTGTCCAGAGTGACTCCACAGAAATCTATTGGTTTTGACTACACTCAAAACAATATTATGTTATTATACACAGCCACAAGATTTTGTCTTACTAAAAACATTTGATGTTAGTACGAAATGTCATTACAACTTGTTAGTGAAGGGCGGGGTATAAATCCAATCTCCTCCTCCTCCTCCTCCTCCTCTTCTTCTTCTGTCTTGCCTCACGTGTGCCCTCAGAGTTAAGGGGATTTGCACATGTCCCCGTTGAGGAATTTTACCCTCTCAGTGGGCTCTTCTGCATTCTTATTTTCCTTGCTTGTGTATCCCTGTTGCTTTGTGGTTTTTTCTCTTTTCTGAATGTGTTTCACTTCCTCTAGTGGTTGATTCAGAATTACGTCGCTGTATGTCCGGCATATTTCCCTGCAGGTTTAAAGTGCAGGGGAATATACTAGACGTGCAGTGATGTAATATCGAATTGACCACTAGAGGGAGCAAAACACATGCAGAAAAGACCCCCCCCCCCCAAAGCAATCGGGACACACAAGCCGTGGAAACGAGAATGTGGAAGAGCCCGATCTAATGGATGCCTCAAGGGTCAGGTGCTGTGCTAGAGGCAACCTGACTACCTTGTACCTGTGTATCTGTATGACTAGGGAGCCTTTTCCTGATACTAGGTGCATGTCTAGATACAAGTTCATTATGGGGAGGGAGAAGTTTTCACTCCAGAACAGGACCGCTAGTACAAGAATACTTCCTAGGGGTGGGCGGCTTTCATCTGATGTACTTTTCTCCCATTGTTGCCCCTCCAGCATGATGGACAGCCTTATTGCCACAAACCTTGCTATGGGATTCTCTTTGGACCAAAGGGTGAGTATAATGTAGGGAGAGGAGGGGTTTCCGGGAAAGGGGTGGGTAGAAGAGCAGGGCTGCAGCCCATGCAGAGGACGTTGCTGGGGGTGGTGGAGGAAATCAGCTGCTATTTAAAGGGCACACTGGAAGTATCACTCTCCTTTCACTATACGTTGCTACTGTTTATTTATTTATTTATTTAGGCATGTTTACCCCGCCCTCCCCGCGAACGGGCTCAGGGCGGCTTACAAGGGGCATGAGCCCATGCGTAAAACCAGATAAAACAAGAAATCATGAATAATAATAACAATGACAATAATAAAGTGCTTTCTGTAAACAAGATGGTCTTTGAGTGGTTTTGGTGGCATCAGTCATTTCCTTAAATCCTCCCCTTCGGGTGATATTGTGCAGTAGATAGTTCAAGCCAATCCCACAGTGTCAGTGCCATACAATTCATGGCGGAACTTCCAAGGGCGGTTCCTAGTCCCGATGTTATTGCCACTGTTGAGCTAGTCATACAGTAGTCGTGTGTGGGGGAGCATGGAGCGGAGGGGCTGATCTGCTGTGAGAACAGCCTCCTGGCAAGGGTGATGCTTATTTATTTATTTATTTACATTATTTGCAGTTGGCCTTTCTCATAGCCGCTCAAGGCGGACTATGCATAGTGAGTCAGTACAATCAGCAAAATGGGACAGTCAGTAAGGATTTTGGAAGTCTGGAACCACCAGAAAAAACTCAAGCCTAGCATAAGTATTCACACATTAGTATTCACACATTAGTAGTCACATGACAGACAGTTTGGCGTAGTGGTTAGGAGTGCGGACTCTAATCTGGGAGAGCCGGGTTTGATTCCCCACTCCTCCACGTGCAGCTGCTGGTGTGACCTTGGTCTTTCGGAGCTGTTCTCTCGGGAGCAGTCCTCGAAAGCGCTCTCTCAGCCCCCACCTACATCACAGGGTGTCTGTTGCTGTGAGGGGAAGGGAAAGGAGTTTGTAAGCTGCTCTGAGACTCTTTCAGGTAGAGAAGGGTGGGTTATAAATCCAGTCTCTTTTCTTCTTCTTAAGCGTTACATAATAGGATCCTACTTACAATAAGCTATATGCAACAGTATAGACCATGGTCTGTATGGAAGTGGCCTCTTCCTGAATCCTTCAGAGTGGGGAGGCATACGTGGCTGGAGGTGCCTGTGTGTGCTCTTCTCCACACACACACACACACCAGAGTGCCTGCTGCTGCAGCCCGGGAGAGTCTGCAGGGTAGTCCAGTTGGGATGGCCTGGATAGGAGGGTGGGTGTGAGAAAGAGAGAGCCTCCCCTTTGCCCTGTCTCTTCACACGGGACAACCGTACCCTTGCCCTGCTGTAACGGAAGAGGCTGCTGCCACTGCCCTAAGCCTCGATGCCAGGACTCTCCTCCACTCCATCAGACCGGCTGGGGAGCCGTCCCTTGCTTCCTGAGGTCTCTGAATGGCAGCAGCTCTGAATGGCTTCCTGGCCGTCTACCATGCTAGGAGACCCAGCAGCCGCTTTGACTGCAACCTGCTGGGGGTGTGCTGCTGTTGCCCCCTCCCAGTGAGCCAGGGGCTTCACACTTACCCACAAAAGAGGCGGTCGCGTTGGCATGGCCGGCTTCAGATTGATCTCATTTGGATTATGTAGAATATCCTGCCACGGCCACATCTCTCCAGTGGGCCCAAAACTTTCCCCAAACATGCACCCTCCCAGCTCTTGATGCCTCCCGGGGCCCTGAACCAGTTATTCGTTCCCGTTTGACTGAAGGCCTCCTTCCCTTTGCAGTCCTGAAAAGAAAACATAACGTTTGTCCCTGCTATTCCCCCCACATCACAACTGAGCCATCGCAAACGAAGCATTTGCCAGTCCACTCTTGTAAGCAGTGGAGGAACGCATTGGCATATGTCTGCTTCTTTCCCCCCAACAACAACAAAATAAATAAATTTGGATTATTGGCTGCCCAGATGGTTGATGCCCCATTTTGGGAATTGAACCTGCCTTTGAACTCAAGTGGGCTCAAGTGGTTAAGATGATGAACTGCAGACTGGAAGGTTGGTAGTTCAGCAGTTCAAGACCTGAGTGCCGCATGACGGAGTGAGCTCTTGTTTCTGGCCCCAGCTCCTGCCAACCTAGTAGTTCGAAAGCAAGAAATTGCAAGTAGATAAATAGGTATGGTAAAGAGCTGCGGTGGGTCAAATGGTTAAGACGCTGAACTGCAGGCTGTGGAAGGTCGGTAGTTCAGCAGTTCGAGACCCGAGTGTGCCGCATGACGGAGTGAGCTCCCGTCTCTAGTTCCAGCTCCTGCCAACCTAGCAGTTCGAAACAAGAAATTGCAAGTAGATAAATAGGTACCACTTCGGTTGGGAAGGTAACAGCATTCCGTGCGCCTCAGTGTTTAGTCATGCCGGCCACATGACCACGGAAACGTCTTTGGACAGCGCTGGCTCTTCGGCTTTGAAACGGAGATGAGCACCACAACCCTAGAGTCGATTTCGACTGGCTTTCGAGCAAGGGAAACCTTTACCTTTAAATAGGTACCGCTTCAGTGGGAAGGTAACAGTGTTCCGTGCACCTTGGCATCTAGTCATGCTGGCCACATGGCCATGGAGAAGTTTTCGGCTTGGAAACTGAGATGAGCGCTGCATCCCTAGACTCGGATTTGACTGGCTTTCAAGCAAGGGAAACCTTTACCTTTACCTTTTACCTTGAACTGACACAGACACTTAGCTCTTGAGTGTTAGAACTTGTGCAGTGTTTGGCTGCCAGCAGTGAATCACACTTTAGTGTACTTTTTGTTGTTGTTGTTCTAAGTATTACTGAATGCTTGGTATTGTTTTTTGACTGTTTGAGTTTTTTAATTCTCCAGGCCAGATTTCTTATTTCATTCATTCATTCATTCATTCATTCATTCATTCATTTTCACCCCACCTTCCTCTTCAGTGGGGACTCAAATCTGCTTACCTCCTTCTCCTCTCCTTCATTTTATCCTGTGAGGTAAGTTAGGCTGAAAGCGTGTGATTGGCCCAAGGTCATGCAGTGACCATATCTGAAAGGTAAATGTAAAGGTTTCCCTTGTATAAAAGCCAGTCGAATCCGACTCCAGGGTTGCGGTGCTCATCTCTGTTTCCAAGCCAAAGAGCCAGTGCTATCCAAAGATGTTTCCGTGGTCATGTGGCCGGCATGACTGGACACTGAGGCGCACGGAATGTTGTTACCTTCCCACCAAAGCGGTACCTATTTATCTACTTGCAATGTCTTGCTTTCAAACTGCTAGGTTGGCAGGAGCTGGGGCCAGAGACGGGAGCTCACTCCATCTTGCGGCACTCGAGTCTCAAACTACCGAACTACAGATTTTCTGGTCTGTAGTTCAGCGTCTTAACAACTTGAGCCTCTAACTAACCCCTAAATCCCTAGTTCTGTGGCATTTATCTACTTTCAAGTATTTACTTGCAGTTTCTTGCTTTCGAACTGCTAGGTTGGCAGGAGCTGGGGCCATGAGATGGGAGCTCACTCCGTCATGTGGCACCTGGGTCTCGAACTGCTGAACTACCAACCTTCCGGTCTGCAGTTCAGCCTCTTAACCATTTGAGCCACCGCAGCTCCTATCTGTACCATTACTATTTCCCATAAATAATAATAATAAACAAAACTATTTCTCATAAATAAAAGTTATTTCAGATTTCCCTCCATCTGGATTCTCAGTTTTACTTTCAAGCTGGTAGAGCTCAGTGCCTTTTCGCCCTTATCCAAGTTTTGGCGGAGTTATTTCTGAAGTTCCTCATACAAATACAGTTGCCAGCTTTTAATCTGGTCCCTTCTAGCTGTCCCTTTAATATCAGTTTGATCTGCAGCAAATGCTGGGCGTTGTTATTTACTTTCATCATGTGGAAAGCCTCACGTGCCCATTTTGACTACCCATTAAGCCTCTGTTTAAAGGGACAGGGCGTTTTTCTCCTGGCCAGCGGGAAGAACCTCAGCGAGTTCCCGTAAATTTGTAGTGAGAAGGCAGCAGAGGGAAAGCCGGTTTGGTGTAGTGGTTAAGTGTGCAGACTCTAATCTGGGAGAACCGGGTTTGATTCCCCACTCCTCCACTTGCACCTGGCTGGATGGCCTTGGGCAAGCCGTAGCTCTGATAAGAACTGTTCTTGAAAAAGAGCCATTTCTGTCTGAGCTCTCATAGCCCCACCTACCTCACAGGGTGTCTGTTATGGGGAGGGGAAGGGGAAGGAAATTGTAAGCCGCTCTGAGACTCCTTTGGGTAGTGAAGGGCGGGGTATAAATCCAATCTCTTCTTCTTTTTCTACCTACCTCACAGGGAGTCTGTTGTGGGGAAGGGGAGGGAAAGGAGTTTGTAAGCCGCTCTGAGACTCCTTTGGGTAGTGAAGGGCAGGGTATAAATCCAGTCTCTTCTTCTTCTTCTACCTACCTCGCAGGGTGTCTGTTGTGGAGGGGGGAAGAGGAAGTAGAT